AAGCTGCAACCCACATCCACGTCCATCAGACAGGCCAAGCAGGGAGCCAGTGGTTCTCCATGGCCTGGCGGTAATGAAGCCCTCTTACGAGAGACTGGACACTACAGTACACCACTTTCACAGAGCCCAGACAGGCAAAGCTACAAACACACAGTGGTCCCTTCTTATCCTTAAGGGATACAAGACCCCCATGGGTGCCTGAAACCACAGATAGTATCGAGCCCTATACAGGCAGACCTCGGACATGTTGCAGGTTCAGTCCAGACCACTGCAATAAAGCAAATATCCCAATAAAACAAGTCACACACATTTTTTGGTTCCCCAGTGCATATAAAAGTCATGTTTTCACTATCCTGTAGTCTATTAAGTGTGCAATAGCATTATGTCTAAAAAAAAGTACATACTTTAATTTGAAAATAGTTTATTGCTAAAAGATGCTATCATTGGAGCCTTCAGGGAGTCGTAATCTTTTTGCTGGTGGAGAGCTTGAAATATGTTGAGAATTATTAAAATGTGACACAGAGACATGAAGTGAGCAAGTGCCTGACATGGGGTTGTGCACACCTTGTGAAAAATACAATACTGCAAAGCACAGTAAAGCCAGGCACAACAAGATGGATTATGCCTGTACCTACCATGTTTTTTCCTATACATACCTATGATGAAGTTTCATTCATAAATTAGGCACAGTAAGCAATGAGCAACAATAACTAACTATAAAATAGAACAATTATAACAACACATTGTAAGATAAGTTATGGGAACGCAGTCACTCTCAAAGTATCTTACTGTACAAACTTAATGCCTTTTCCATTTTAACTAAGCACTTATCACGCACCATGGTCATAACTTTTGCAGCTTGAGATGCAACAGCCAAACTAGCATGAATTTCTTTCTCCTTCTTCATAATTTCATGGATGGAAGATTCAGCCTCACTGTAGCCCCTAGCAGCCTTAGCATACAATTTTTTTTCTTTCCTTATTAAGTCAAGAACTTTGACCTTTACCCTAAAGGAAGCACTTTACACGGCTTCTCTCTGGCCCATCTGAAATGCCAGCATTACAACTCCTGTGATTTGAGGCCATTATTAAGCAAAATAAGAGTCACTGACCACAAGCACGGTGATACCACAACAGTCAATACCAACCAGAAAAACTGAGCCGGCTGCAAGGTGACTAACAGGCAGTGATGTGGTGGACAAAGAGATGGTTCACATCCAGGGCAGGACGGTGCGAGATTTCATCACATTACTCAAAACAGCTCACGACTTAAAACTTATAAACTTTATTTCAGGAATTTTCTATTTACTATTTTTGGACCACAAAAAGAGAAACCTTGGATAAAGGGGGATTACTGTATTGTTTACAGAGATACTCATTTAAAGCTGAACATTAAATTCAGGACAGCAGTCACGTGGTTGTGCTTCACCAAAGCACAAGGAGGTCATCAGCAAAGTCTCAATTTTACATTTGAGATTTGAGGCCTAAAAGGTGAAGTATGTTCCCTGTGGCCACACAACTAATCAGCAAGAGCTCAGATGCAGACCCAGGTCTGACTAGAATCCTCTTCCACACTATTCCTCAAACAGAGGAAAGAAACGGGCAGAAGTGGAGTTACCATTCTGAGGGTAAGACTCCTTCTGTGTCTCTGAACCATTTCCACAATGGTGTGCAGGGTATGGGCCCAGAATCAGCAGGGTAAACATCTTCCTGAAGGCAGGGGCAGGGGGCAGAGGGTCAAATCAGGGCCATACTTGAGAACTGAACTGCAAGAGCAGTATGACCAGCCCTTTACGGACAGTTTCAATCACATCCCACAGGCTACCCATCCTGATTCAATTCAGGCATCTCACCTCCCCTCAGGGGGCCCGGTAAAATACTACTAACCATTGTCTGGTTTTGTTTAGAAATCAGGGGGCAAGGGAGAGAAGACCCAGCAATCCATTCACAAAAATTCCAACCACACCTTAAACATGGTGCGACTGCATATCACTTCGTGCACAGCACGAAACACGAAATAAGCGCTTCACAGTGCCGGGCCCTTTTAAAGAATCTGTGTAATAGGACAGCAATAGTACTCCAAAGGAGGGACCAGGACATCCTGGGAAGCCTAGATACCACTCTACCACCTGGTGGATGCTGTAAAACTGCTAAAAACCCTGAAAGACGGCTCTCCATTAAGAGAAAGCAAACGAAAAGAAAAGCAAAAAGATACTGTGTTTATCGTCTCCAAAAGTCAGAAATAACTGCATTCTAATTGCATTTCTGGTAGAAATACCTCCAGCGTCTACAGAAGTCATCAATAACATCTCACCCCACCTGGAAAAGCCTCGTGATCAGCACTAATGACCCTGCGGTCTTAGTTCACGTTTTCTAAGTCTGTCTTTAAAATGGAGTAAGTTCATCCACTGTGGATTTCCAGGGGGTTCGGTATAAATTGAATCAGAAATAATTATAAGCCTCGCCTCTTCCTGATCCCCTCCCCCAAATTCACTAAGCTCTCTCTTCCCTCTCCGTCAAAGTTTTCTTTCTAAAGAGGAAAAGTCTAGACTTAGGCCACAGACCAAAGAAAATGCTACAGAACAAAAGAAACAAAAGGACACGTGCAAGATGGTGCAAAGATAATTCAAAACGGATTCAGGCTTCATGCTGTAGCCCAAAACTGTCTACAATATGTAAAGGCTGAGAAACGTAAAATCATCCCGTAAACACAATAAGCACGTGAAAAGCATACACACCAAAAAAAAAAAAAAAAAAAAAAAACCTCAATAGATAAAGAGGGAAGACATTTAGCAGAACCCTGCAGGGCCAAGGCTTTTTTTTTTTTTTCCAAAGCTTTTTAGTTACTTTCTTTATGAAAAGCAATCAGGTGCTGCTGAAATCAGCATCTGGCATTAGAAAGACAAGAAGTTATCCAAAGGGATTTCTCCATGAAGACGACAAATTGAATAAATTAATCCATAGGCACTTGTTTCTTTCATCCTACTGTATTAAGCTTATGCGATTGCAAGATGAGCAGTAATTATCCTTGAGAATTAAGGGACACTAGCCCAGCTTTCAAGGAAATTTAAAATCTAAAAAATAAATAAGAAAACGTATTACTTCAACGTCAAAGAAGGAAAAACCTTGAAACACATTAAACAGTTTCATTGTAAACTCTCACATAATGAATTCTGGGTAAAAATCGATATGGCTATTGGAAAAATAAATCCTCCCAAATAAATCTAATTTGCTGTTATTGCAACAACCCACTTATCAAGAGACCATAGAACTTGCATTTCTTAACGTTAATGGATTTGACAGCTTGTGAAGACACAGAAAAATGTTCTTCCCGGAAAAGTACCAATGGTTCTTTGATTCCAAGTTGTATAAACTATTTCTTTTTCTTCCTTTCCCTGTAATTCTTTTCTTTTTTAATTGACATATAGTCAGTTACAATGTCAATTTCTGGAGTACAGCATAATGTCCCAGTCATGTGTGTACACACACACACATTAGTTTTCATATTCTTTTCCATTAAAGGTTATTACAAGATACTGAATGTACTTTCCTGTGCTATACAGAAGAAATCTTTTATCTGTTTTTATATATAGTGGCTGTCATGCACAAATCTCAAATTCCCAAATTTATCCCTTCCCACCCACTTTCCCCTATGGTAACCATAGTTTGTTTTCTATGTCTTTGAGTCTATTTGTGGTTTATAAATAAAATTTGTATCATTTTTTAAGATTCCACATATAAGTGATATCATATGATATTTGTCTTTGTCTGACTTACTTTTAAAATGATAATCTCTCAGTCCATCCATGTTGCTACAAATGGCATTATTTCATTCTTTCTTATGGCTGAGTAGTATTTCGTTGTAAATATATATCACATCTTCTTTATCCATTCATGTGTTGATGGACATTTAGGCAGGCATGAGTTCAACAACAAACTCATCTCCTATGACCTCACAATAAAATTACTCAGAAACTAATTTAAAAGGGTACCTCTTCCCAAATCAACATCAAAAAACAAAAAACAAACAACTGATTTTAAAAATGGGCAGAAGAACTGAATAGACATTTTTCCAAAGAGGAAATGCAGATGGCCAACAGGCATATGAAAAGATGCTCAATACTGCTAATCATCAGGGAAATGCAAATCAAAACCATGATGAGATATCACCTCACACCTGTCAGAATGGCTATCATCAAAAATAACACAAATAATCAGTGTTGGCAAGGATGTGAAGAAAAGGAAACCCTTGTACACTGCTGGTGGGAATACAAATTGGTGCAGCCACTGTGGAAAACAGAACGGCAGTTTCCTGAAAAACTAAAAATAGAACTACCAGATGACCCAGCAATTCCACTCCTGTGTGTATATATCCAAAACAAAAAACAAAAAATAAACCCACTAATTTGAGAGATACATACATCCTAATGTTCATAGCAGCATTATTTACAAATGTCAAGATATGGAAGCAACCTAAGTATCCATCAACAGATGACTGGATAAAGAAGCTGTGAGATATATACATATATTCACACAAAACAGACTACTGCTCAGCCATAAAAAAGAATGAAATTCTGCCATTTGCAGCAGCATGGATGGACTTGGAGGGCATTATGCTGCCTAAGTTAAGTTAGACACAGAAAGACAAATCCTGTATGGTATCACTTATATGTAGAATCTAAAAAACACTATAAACTAGTGAATATAACCAAGAAAAAGCAGACTCACAGATACAGAGAACAAACTAGCAGTTACCAGTGGGGAGAGGAAGGGGGCAGAGTGAATAGTGGACTCAGGGAGTGGGAGGTACAAACTATTGGGTTAAGATAGGCTCAAGGATAGAGTGCACAACACGGGGAATATAGCCAATATTTTGCAGTAACTGTAAAAGGAAAGAAACCTTTCAAAACTGTATAAAAATTTTAATGTGAATTTTGACTAATTAATTAATTAAAGGGTATTGCTTCCATGATATAAAGTGAAGTATAAACTGACACAGAGGTGCTTGCTTCGGCAGCACAAATACTAAAACCGGAACGATACAGAGAAGATTAGCATGGCCCCTGCACAAGGATGACACGCAAATTCGTGAAGTGTTCCGTATTTTTCTGAGTTCCTTTTTCATTAAAGTAGCTTTCATTCCTTTTATTGCAGTTATTAAAATATGAATGAATGGAAGGTTAGTGCCAGGAAATAAACAAACAAATGACAGAGGAGAGTCTATACAACATTCATAGAAAGGAGAGAATGGGGAACATGAGACCCATATGCTAAGGTTCCTTTTAGATAACATTTTTCAAGTTCTATATACATACACATAAATAACTGAGAGCAGGTACACGTTACCAGTCGTAGTAAAGGGGAGGAGCCACGTGCACTGGTGCTTGTAAAAATTAAAATCAAGAAGAAAATATGAAAATAATGGAGAGAAAGACATGGGAAGGTTCTTTGAAGCTAAGAAAGACTTCCAGGTTAAGAGGAGTGGAGACCGATGATCCACAATGTACACATGAAAAACATTAAAATAGAGGCACACATGTCAACATATATGCATATATACATACACACAATTCTATTCAGTAGCTGCTCATTACACATGTGATGGTCTCTCAGAAAGTGCCTCCTTGTGTGGGTGGGTATAGCTCAGTGGCAGAGCAATGCTTAGTGTGCCCAAGGTCCTGGGTTCAATCTCCAGTACCTCCATTAAAATAACTAACTAAATAACCCTAATTACCTCCCCCCACCCCCAAAAACGCCTCCTTACATGTTATGTATTTTAAAGATGGCTATCTATTCCAACTCTGGGAGAAGGGGACAGCAGCAGTTACCAAACTATTCACACAGGCCTCATTAATCACAAATACTTTCACGGCAGGAAGTTCAAGTACAATCTAGGGCATCGAGAAGCTTCCTCCTTGAGACTGATTTAAATAGCCAGTGTCTAAACCCGTCTTTCAATTAAGTCATCGCCCTTATAAATAACAACAGTAGTTACTGTCTGAGCACCTGCAGGACACCAGGCACATTATATTCTCTGGCTCATGTAATCAACGTAACAATCCAGGGAGATGGGTGTTTCTATTCCCATTTTACAAAGGAGTACAAGTAGGAATCAGTGAGGTTTTAAATCTTACCCAAGATTAACTCCCTTGGCCAAGGTCACACAGCAAACTGAGTCACAGGACAAGCAAGAATCCAAAGTGAAGTCTGTTTGATACAAAGCTTGTGTTCCTACTACTGTATTATGCAACCTCCAACTTACAGATATGGGATAATTGTAATTTAGGGTTTTTTAAATTGAAGTATGGTCAGTTTACAATGTTGTGTCAATTTCTAATGTTTGGCATGTTTCAGTCATACATGTACATACTTAATATTCCTTTTCATATTCTTTTTCATTATAGGTTACTATAAGAAGTTATATGTAGTTCCCTGTGCTATACAGAATATATAGTGTGATTCAGAAATTACTTATACATTACTAGTTTATTATTCATAATATTACATGAAAATGCACATTGTAAACAATAACCTACACTAAAATATGTATTTTATAAATATTTACATGGCAAAAAAAGATTATGACATTTAGGAGTGATACAAACATTGGTGAATCTTTTTAATTTCTGTTTTTCTAATTTTTCCTTAATTATGATATATAACTTACTAAAAGGTAACGCACACACCAAAAAAACTGCATTTTAGTACAGATGTTTTTCCTCTCTGTTCTCTGGAAACTATCAAAAATAAATTTTATTATAAAACATGATACAAGTTTTAACAGACCCTCAGAATTAAAGATGAACAACCATGACAATATATGCCACAGAATTAAAATTATGCAGAAACTTGGAACCACTAAGGAAAAGCAAATAGCCTTTTGATTTTTGCATTATATTTATCCCCAAAAAAGAGAAAAGTAAATAAAAGAGGTAGTCAGAAAATTCCATAACTTGGAAGAAATGCTGAGGGGAAAAATAACAAAACCAATCAAAGTCAATTTGACGCAAGGAAAACACCCTTGGAAACCACAGTACAAAGTCTTCAAGGAAAAAAGGTCAGTTTCAGTGACTGTCTAGGTATTTCAGCAGATTAACAGTTAGTTCAAAGAAACACTTCGTGGTTCCGAAATGTTGTTTAAGCCAAACAACTGATCAGAACGTGAAGGCCACATGAAACCAAATTCACTTTTCAAAATAAATACACTTTTCATCTTGTTCAATGACCCTACACCATGTTCATGCAACCTCTCAGAAGCACCGTAACCAAAATCTGAAAATGGGAAGTACATAAACTTCATTTCCCAAAAGGAAACCACCACTCAACTACTCACCGCGTAATCTGACAAGGGTATTTGTTTTCAAAGCCATCAAATAATATGCATGCCAAGAAAACAGTATGTGATCAGAAGGGGGAAAAGCAGAGCTTCAACTTTCCCCAAAATGTTTCACGATCAAAAACAAATACAGCAAAACATGAATATCTGGTGAAGTTGGAAAGTATTATGTAAGTGTCTATATTTTCCAGTCCACTTGAAATATTTTTTAATTAAAACTAATACTAATGTTTAATATGTGTAGGTCAATACAACACTCAAACCTCTTAGTACACTTACACTGATAAAAAAAAAAAAAACCATACACCATGTCAACATCCCTCTAACCCAACCTGTGTTTTACCACCTGTGGGAGCCACTGCTGATGTAGATACCAAACATCTCCTAGTCTGCTCCTTTGCCAAGCATGAATTCAGAAACACTAATACAGATAGAACAAAAAAATTTTTAATTCTTTATGTAACAATGTCAGAATAGTTGTAAGTCACCTGAGATGTTCTGTGTGTCCTCTGCGTGTCTAGCTTGAATGCATTTCTAAAATGAAAATAAAGAGGTTTTCCTCTGAAATGGCACATTTGCAGAACAGAAAGTCCTTATCCCCCACAGGAAAGCACAGGCTCAAGACACCTTACAAAATGCACCAAATACACCAGAAAGGTCACTTTGGGTACTAAGGTGACAAGAAGATCTCTATTAATGGAAAGCTTGTGGCCTGAAAAAACTACGCAGATCTTTAGAAAGTGAGTTTTTCATTTCCCTCTCACTGAAAGAAGCAGAACCTACATTTGCACGGTGCTTCTGACTCCATGGGCAAAGGCACTAGGTGGAAACAGCTGTCGTACTCAGGAAACAGATGGGGTGAATAAAGCAACTAGATAATCAACTGCCTTCCTCATCCCTCCACTGGAATTTAAGAAACACTCAGTTAATAATGAAACAAACTAGAAACGCGGAAGTTCATAGCTGAGCAGGACTTGAACACGTATCATGGAACGTGATGAGCATCACAGAGAGGTCAGACTTAAATGACAAAGAATATGTCAGGCTGTGTTTCCCTATTCTCAAAAAAGAGTCTTATACCTGCCACAGCCTTGATTAAAACTGAGATCCATCTGTACCCTCACCAGCCATGCAATCAGATCTTAACTGAGATGTAATACTTAACTACAAGTATTTACTTTAATTCAAACACCTCCTCGACGTCAGTTGGGCATAAGGTTCTGGGCAAAAAGCTCAGTGCTCCAAAGATCACAATGGCATAGACTTTCCTTTCAAAAAGTTTATAACCTAATTTATAGGGAAGGATATGGAAAACCAGCAATAACGCAAACTGGAGTGTTGACAGGTACGGCTTCAAAGATGACAAAAGGACATAAGGTCAGAAGACGAACTCAATGGGATGAAGGAAGAACAGGGAGTAAGTGTCCCATGGGCAGAGAAGAGGCAGAGGAAAAGCAATCCGGGGACGAAACAGAGCGAGGACAGAAAAGGCAGCTGTGCACATGGCGTTTTGAGTAAACAAAGCATAAACCATGGAAACACATTTTAAATATCAAACATACAAAGAAACACTTAAGCGCTAAGGGTTGCCTGGAAATTTTCCCTGAGAGCCACAGGAGAGGAACTGGCGTTACTGTTAATTCAGTGTCTGTCTTCCAGCTTTGGCTTTGTCCTTTGTAAAACCAGGGAAACAGATGCCTACTTCACAACATCATTTCTGGCATCCAGGACCTCGCGTGGGATCAATCATCACATGATTACAGAGACAGCCATCGAATCCCATCATCCTAACTGGGTCAGTTACCAGCACACGGCATGCTATTCAGAGTTACTGTTTTGCAGGGAATATTTCCTTTCAAATACAGAGGAGCATTCAGATGGAACCTGGCAGACTTGTAATTCTATCAGGCAGCTGAAGTATAAATTATTTTTTTTAACCTCTGGTGGTGGTAACACTTTACGAAGCTTTGTGATCGTGTTTGTTCTACAGGGAGAGGTAGGCCAGTGGAATGAGTGTGTATGTGCGGTTCCCCCCCAACCGCATTCTACTGAAATATAACTGACACGTAATTGTATTACAGTTCAAGGTGTACAACATGATGATTTGATATATGTGTATTATACGAAATGATTACCAAAAGTTTAGTTAACATCCATCACCTGACATAGCTCCAAATAAATGAGTATCTGTCACAGGAAAAGAGAATGCTACAATTCTAATGATGAATTTGAAAACTCAATTTTATGGACAAAAATTGTTCAGAACTTTCAAATAGTGCCTAAATTGGAAAACAATAACCTTCAACAAATTAGTGTAAAGAGCTGCAATTAACTTTTTAGTTATTTAATTCCACTTAGGCCAAAAGCCTTTCAAGTAAAAAAAAAAAATTCTACATGGGAATTTCTCACACCTTGTAAAGCAGAAAACCAACTTTGCTACTTAGACAGCAGAAATGCCTCATCGTTTACTCACACGAGATGTTCAAACAAGATGGAACAGTGGCTGGTACAGTTAAACGGCTGCCTTGATAAAAGAAAAGTTTGAATACCACATCTGGCAAGTGATGCCAAGAAAGCAGCACCGATGACAAAATGCAAAGAAAGTAGTTCATCCCCTGGAACCAACTAGAAGGGCTACGAGAAGGACGGAGGAGTTGGTGATGGAAGGCTGGACCACTCCACAAAGGTTTTAAACAACATGCCACCAGAGTTTGGATTAGCCTATTGGCAATGAGGAACCACCAAAGGTTTATTAGGGATGGTCACAATCAG